AAGTCTACACCGCCACATCCTTAAAATTCAGGGAAATGAAGGACGCATTTGAGGGCCGCATTTCGAGCAGCCTTTGAATTGGGACAGCCTTCGTGGCGTCGCGGTGACGCAATCGGCCTTAAAATGCGGCCTTTAAGGCTGCAGACCCTGGATTGGGATACAGCCTTTATCTTCTTCCTGTTTGTCTGAGTCTTCCTCCATACTGATGTTCCTCCCACTGCACGGAAGCTCGTTTCTGCCTCAACATCAAATTTTGAGAGAAGCCAAAATGTTAAATGTTTAGTGTGTAAAATCTCGCCTCGAGCTGTCAGTAGATTGCAGACAGCAAATTTGAGATAATCACCGGAAATTCGACTTAACAGCCGAATATTGTCCGACATGTCAGCTTCTGAAACTTGTAAGATCATCACCTAAAGGCTGCGTGTAGGGCAGAAACAGTTTTTATCTTTCATTGGCAGAAACGAGCTTCAGGCAGACTTCAGGTTAACGGGCTTTCACACGTGTGCGGCTGATATGTTCCCTAATATTTCAGGGGCACCACCCTTAAACAAAGCTCTGTTTTAGCCACAGTTGACTTCGGGTGATCGCTCTTCAGCACAGCAGGCAGATGTTTCCTGTAGTGAGAGCACATCTGTGAGAAAGAACACCGGTGTTCACCTCACCTGCGCACAAAGAAATGCAGACGACGAACATCTTAACCAAGATAATCTGAGCAAATATTTGATTGCATTTAATTTACAAAGCAATAATTCACAACAAAGCGCGTGGGCCTGTGTCCGGCTCACTTTAATGTGATTTAAACATTTAAAACTGAAACATTCATGTTTCCCGTGGCTGTAATAAACCAGCCGCAGTCACCGGTTTGCCTTCTTTCCATTTATCTGAAGTCGTTCTTATCATTTATTGACTTTCATGGTTTGGTTGTTGATTTTATTTACTTCTAAAAAAACTGGGAACATTTTCCAAAACAATCCAAATGGTTTGACAAAGAGAAACGTTAAAGGTAAAAGCGAGTGTGTGAGGATGTCAGACGTGTTTCTCATGCCTGTGATGCGTGAAACTGTCCTGCAGCTCATCAGGTGCGACCGCCTCACACAGCGTGCTAACGACACTGTGTGCCTCCCTCAGGCGTCGTGCTGTGGCTGATGGTGGTCGCGTGTGTGATCGTTGTCGTCGTCTACCTGCAGCAGTCCAACATCTCGTCTGAAGGTGAGAGTGCATGAAGCACGACACGGATCTACTGACCGTAGCGCCGAGGACGGTCGCACCTTCAGCTGCGCTCTCAGGCCGGATGTTTCGGATTCGTATTAACGCGAAGAAAAACCTGTTTCCGTAAATCTAATGAGTGTCGTTTTGTTTCTGTCCTCGCAGGTGGTTGGCATAAATTACCCAAGCTCATCAATTTCTTCCCTCGCGAAGCCAAAATATCCAGCAAGCGTTCAGGTCAGAGGTCACTCGAGCTGATCGGGGCGTCAGCTGACCCAGAGGAGCAGGTGGAGGATAATAATGAGTCTTTTTCTGTCCTCCCTTCAGCTGGTGTATGTGGTACTCCAAGAGAGTGTCCTGCACATGAGATCAGTTTCTACATCCACAGCGGAGCCGCCAACGTCGTCCCCGCGGCCATCTGCGTCCAAAACAAACTGTAGGCGCTGCCTCCTTTCCTCAGCGCGTCTCTCTGGCGTCCTGTCAGACCTTTCTTTGTGCTAACGTGCAGACTGTGCCTCTCCTCAGGGTTCTGGGAACTGCGCTGAACAACGCTGGAGGAGGAATAAACATCGTTATCCTAAACGGTGAGTGTGCTTCCTGTGCAAAGGGCTTCATCTGGCGCGTTGTGCACAGTGCAGCCTCACCGCTCCCACAGCTGCTGATTAATCGAGACGGCTCCTTTTCTTTTGGTTTCTGGTGTTTCGTTTTTCTCTTTTGACTGCTTTATTCTTATTTCTAAACCTTTACTTTTTTAAGAATTAGTCTTAAGATTTTCTTTGGAAACGCATTCAATCATCAAATGAATGGGCGGAGCTTCTCTCCTGGTGTTCTGCTGGGATCCCGTGTGAGGTGATACCTTCGTTTTTCTCTGGCAGGTAAAACGGGAGAAGTCCTGAAGACGGATCACTATGACACGTACAGCGGAGGTGAGTGAAGACGACCTGAGCCGACTCGTGTCAGTGGTTGGAGGCGGAGCTTTTATCATGTTTGTGTTGCAGATGTGAAACCGTTCATCGAGCTACTGAAGAGCATCGAGACGGGCTCCATCGTTATAATGGCGTCCTACGACGAACCCTCAAGAAAGTAAGAGTCTCCTCCTCTGATCGCTCCTGACGGGAGCTCGGACTCTCCTCTGGGTTCTTGTTCTTGCACAGTAATCGAGGACCAAACGCAGCGCGGATGCTGCATCTTGTTCCGTGTTCGTCTGTTTTATAAAACGGGACAGAGCTTTTCCAGGCAGGGGTGGAGTTTGTGTTTCTGAGGCTTTGTCTCAGCTGTCAGCTCAGTCTCTGTGTTGTCTTCATATTGAGGTGAAAGGTGCTGCCTCCACCCATGTTGAAGCTGTTAACGCACTGCTCCACCCTCTGTGTGTTTCTGCAGGTTAAACGACGAGCTCAAGAATCTGATTGCTGAACTGGGAAGCTCCCACATCCACTCGCTGGGATACAGGGACAACTGGGTGTTTATTGGTGGCAAAGGAGTAACGGGGAAGAGCACCTTTGAGAAGGTAGATTAGTCTGAAGGCCTCGAGCCTGCTCTGGCTTCATCGTGGAAATGTGTGCACTCGTGCATGTAAAGCATTAAATGCTCACCTGGGATCAGGGTCCTGACGCAGGTGTGATCCCTGAGGGAGCAGGTATCAGGTTTCCCCTGATAGTGGAGGGGTGGCCCAAATGCTGGCTGTGAGTCCTGACCAATCACAACCATCCTGAACTGATCTCCACTTCTTCTTTTTTTGTTAACGTGTCTGAGCTCTTAGCCAGCCTTTAGGAGGAGATGTGCTCTATAGCAGCAACAACGAGACAAACCAGGCTCAGCCTGAGCACACGTGTCAGACGTGAAAGGCTCTGTAGAAGCCGAGGAGAGCGCCGTGCCGCCTCTAACCTTGCTCAGCATGTCAGAGACCGCCCTCTTCACCTCCTCGCTCTCTCTCTTCCAGCACATGAAGAGCGACTCGGCAACCAACAAATACGACGGCTGGCCCGAGATGATCGGGCTGGAGGGCTGCGTCCCCAAATACCTGTAGTGACGGGCGAGGCTGCGGACACACGGCCGGTGATTTGGAGACTGATCTGGGACCAGCAAGTCGTGCAAACCAAATCCAGGTGAACCCACCTGCTCTGTGTCTTGTCTGCGTGAGGCTTTCAGGGAAGCTGGACTCTGTCTCCGTCTGCTGTCTGAAGCCAGGTGAGCTGTGCAGTAAGACCTCCTGAAGGTTTCTGACATCCAGCCTCTCCTGAAGCGCTGCAGGCACCATCACCGGAACCAGAGTCTCCAGGTTTTATCTTCGAGTCCTCCCAGAGCAGCTCGGCCGCACCTTCCAGTTTGTTTCTTTGTTATTGTTTTAAGTGTTGCTTTGATTTCTTAAGAATGACAGACTCTGACAGAGACGATGACATCAAACAGCCAGGATCACACACAGCTCTGGGGATGTTTCTGGACTTTTTTGAATGTGCATATTTTTTATTGTGTCCTTTCTTGAGTTTAAGGTTATTACAAAGTGAATTAGTTGCCGGGCTGTGTGTCTGCACGTGTGGTTGTTGGTTTGTTTACATTAAAAATGAAAGGAAGCCGAATGAAGAAGATGCTGATGCTTTGACTCCGGAGTAAGACAACGATTTTGAGGCTAGATGAGGGTTACCTGGTTCTGCCTGAAGCTTCTTCCTGTTTAAAGGGAGTTTTTCCTTCCTTCTGTCACCAAGTGCTTGCTCACAGGGCACTGTCTGATTGTTGGGTTTCTGTTTTATTGTAGGATCTTTACTGCACAATAAAAGGTGTTTGAGGCCGCTGCTGTGGGATTGTACTATATGAATAAAGTTGACTTGAACTGAAGAACAAACTCAGACTCTTTCACGCTGCTGCCTCGGCAAACAGAGAATTTGACACTTCCTTGAGTCACATCCTGCAGCAGCAGACTCATTGTTCATTGTTTCTCTTTGTGAGTAAATGTGACTCGGGGACAAACATGACGGCAGCAACCTGTAAAAAGGTGAGTGAAGCTGAGCACAGTCATCAGAGCGTCCTGTCCTCACACGTGGACGACAGATTTCATTTTGAGGATGGAAGCAGGAGAAAAAGCATCAGGATCAAGCACCTCATTTTCTGCTTTGTTTCATTTCGGGAAACCATAGAATAGCACTTTGTGCGTACAACAGAATTATGAATGCAAACACAATAAACGTGTGTGGTGTTTGTTAACAGTCTGAAGAAGCCGTTTGTCCCCAGTTTGTCTTTTCTGCATGAAATAATGGAGGAAATCATTTTATTAATAAAGATCCACTCCAGGTGATGGTTTAAATATTCAGGAGCATAAAGCAGCGAGGCAGTGCCCGCCTACCTGCCGGCTCGACGCACCTACAGACGTGATTTATGCTTCAGTTGTGTTTTATGTTTGCATGACAGTTGGAGTGTGAAAAGTTGACGGTTCAGTGTGATCGCCATCCTTTGTTTAACCTCTGTGGGCAAAGGGTGAAAGACACACGTGAACAGCTCGGGTGTGTTTCAGTGAGATTTCAAATTTTTCAAAAACGTCCCAAGAGAGGAACTGTGTTTATATTGGAGGTATGGAAGGGTGGTGCAGGACAGATGGGTTGAAGCTCTGAGCCCCCTCCTGTTTGAGACGGGTGAGGTCAGGCAGGAGTCTCTGAGAGCAGGCGTAGGAGAGCCTGTGTGGGTGGAGGCGTGCTCTGAAGAGAAGAGGAATGAAAGACGTGTGTGTGAATGAGAAGGAGACGGGGGGAGGGGTTAACATGAAAGGAGCAGAAGAGTTTAAATATCTCGGGTCAACCATCCGAGGAGAGCTGAGGAAGGCTGCACAGGATGGAGATATTAGAGCAGGGGTGTCAAAGTGAAATGAGCTGTGGGCTGCTGTCGTCTCATTGGACGGCCACTTTAGTGTGCAAGTAGTACAAAACAAGAAAACCAGAAATATTTTCTAAAATGTTTTGTTTAAATTTCAAATATTGTATAACAAGACAAAACCGCAAACGTGAATTCAGATTTATTTTTCCTCACTCTTAACTAACTGAAGCCTTTTGTTGAACCACCAAATAAACACATGAGTTTGAGACTCTGTCACTGAACTCTGCTCATTTTGCCTTCATATTCAATCATTTTTGGCTTTTTAAAAAACTCATTTTAACATTTCACTCAACAACAAACAAATCCTCCCTAACAAAAAAACCAAACTGCATTATGTTTCTTCATGTCAGTATACGGGCTGTGACTTTGAAACCCCTGTATTAGACAGAATGATGACGATCGAGCTGGCAGGCAGGAGGAAAAGAGAAAGACCTCAGAGAAGGTTCATGGATATAGTGACGGAGGAGGATGCTGGAACAGGAGGAGATGGTCCTCTGAGAAAACTAAAGGGAGCAGCTGAAAGCAAAAGAAGAAGAAAAACATTTTTCTCTGTGATTGTGCAGATTTTAGAAACATTAAAAAATGTGGTGTGACTGACGACCCACTACATGGTTCCACTCACACCCAAGTTTGGAGGAGGGGTTCTTGTTGTGTTTGGGCGCGATATGCTCAGTTGATGTATGGAGGTGAATAAAGTTGGAGTGAAAAACTGGAGCTCCCGTGTCGTGTGTCCCAAGCCTCCATAGTGGCATGAAATGTAAATATTCAAATAAATTACATCAACATTATGCTGAAAGACAATAATTAACTAAGTGCACTTAGTTTAAAGGAAAAGTCGTATTTGGGCGGTTATTTTGTTTATAACTTCCGATTAATGTCATTTAATTCCACTCTGAAGGGCAAAAGAAACTAAAAATTAACGGAACAAAGGAGGGGGAACAAAAGCAAGATACTGTTTCCACCCGAACACTTTTCTAAAGCACAGTCAAAAACATTCTTTCTGATTGGCTGGTCGAGCTGCAAAGAAGCGTAAAGGCTAAGATGTGAAGATCTGATTGGCTGTCCATCCGCCACAAACCGAGAGGACGACAAATTTGATTGGCCGAAGGAGTTCGTAAAGTTCTAATGGCGGATTCTCGCTGAAAATGTGAAATGCGTTTTGTTTTTGTTTATTTCTGGATTAATCTGGGTTTATAAATGCATTTAATGTGAGCAGTTCCGCCTCTGAAATGGCGACATTAGTTTTGGATAACGGAGCGTACACGGCGAAGATCGGATACAGCCAGGAGAAAGTCAGGTGAGATGTTAGCATGACAGCTAACGTTGCGGCTAATTAAAATAATAATAATTAAACTGAAGAGGCGTAAAAATAATTTAGACTTTAAGCGACCTAACCTCTGTGTAAAAAAAGTCAAACCCTCACGCCAGATTCTATTTCAAATCTCTCAGTTTAAGGAATAAAATGTATTTCATTAAAACGCTTATTTTTTCTTTATTGACCAAATATAAACTCTCAAAGTCATCTTATAAATGTATAACAGCTAAGGGTGTTATACATTTATAATAGTTTTTTTTATTAAGTTAACTCTTAGGGGAGGCTTATTTTTCCAGTGTGCTTCACGTAAAACAAAATCAATAAGAATTTACTCGAACTTTTGCACACAGCTGTACATGATGGCGAAGACGACACACTGAATTTCATAAGGACAGTTTTGTTTCTAAAGCTATAATCCATGAGAGAATTGAGAAAAATATAAATTTGTACATATCTAAGAGAAAAAATGGTCACATTTACAAGATAAGCAGATTTGTAAAAACATGAAAATGTTTCAATGAACATTTGCAAATTTGGTGGGTGGAATGAAACAAACGGTCAAATTTATGAAGGGAAACAGTTGCAATAAAAACATTTAAAAAATTACAGTAAAAATGAGCAAATGTGTGAGAATAAAAAAATCATGTAGTTGGTAGAATAATGGGCGGCCCTGACGTGGACCTTCTCTCTGTCCCTCTCAGCGTCATCCCAAACTGTCAGTTTCGCTCGAAGACGTCCAGGTTAAAAACCTTCACTGCAAACCAGCTGGACGAGATCAAAGATCCTTCGGGGCTCTTCTACATCCTCCCCTTCCAGAAGGTGAAGTCACGTAAGGGTGAAGCAGCTTCGGCCTGACGTCAGACTGTCTCATTTCCACCGTTTCTCTTCGTGTCTTCAGGGTTACCTGGTGAACTGGGACGTCCAGAGGAAGGTGTGGGACCACCTGTTTGGAAAGGAGATGTTTAAGGTGACTCCACCCCTCATCGCTGTGGTGTGTTTGACTGAGCTCCTCCTGTGGTGGAGGCTGACCCTGTTTTCTGGGTGCAGGTGGATTTTGCAGACACGAGCGTCGTCATCACCGAGCCCTACTTCAACTTCACCTCCATTCAAGAGTCCATGAACGAGATCCTGTTTGAGGAGTACCAGTTCCAGTCGGCACTCAGGATCAATGGTGAGTCCTCATCCTGTTAGATTTCCTGTTACTTTCAGAATAAAAGCCTGGCATCTCGTTTTAGTAAGAGTGGCGCTCGTAAACTGTAAAAAATGGTAAAACTGAGCTGCTGATTTCGGGCAATCAGGGAAGCTTTCTTTGAATGATTTCCCACCTTGTTCCTCTAGCCGGCTCTCTTAGTGCTCATCACTACTTCCACACAAACCCCTCCGAGCTCTGCTGCATGGTGGTGGACACCGGGTTCTCCTTCACCCACATCGCCCCCTACTGCCGCAGCAGGAAAATGAAGGAGGGCATCCGCAGGTTAGATGACGTGACCCTGCAGACGCAGCAGCGATAACAACAACAGCAGCAACCTGATGCCTGTTTTTCCTTTTAGGATCAACGTGGGAGGGAAGCTGCTGACCAATCACCTGAAGGAGATCATCTCTTATCGGTGAGTCGTGCTTTGTGGCGCCGGCACCTCGGCCGGAGTAACTCTGGGCTTTTATTGAACTGTTCTTTTTCTCGGGTGGAATAATTGTGACACAGACATCCTTAATGACTTTAAAACACAGGTGTGAATTTATTTTCAATTTTCTCTGATCCACACTGTGTGTGTGTGTGTGTGTGTGTGTGTGTGTGTGTGTGTGTGTGTGTGTGTGTGTGTGTGTGTGTTATCATCAAGCTAGAGTTCATGCTGGTTGGTTTCCTGCCTTTAAACACATTTTCAGCAGGGTTGAACTTGTAGCGTCTCTTCTGTTCTGCAGCTTATTGCTAAGCTGCTTTATCCAAAACCAGCTCTGATGTGTGTTTGGGGTCATTGTCCTGCTGGAACACCCGCCTGTGTCCAGCTGCTGATCTGAGGTGTAATTGCAGATTTTGGAGTCCGTCCTCGTTCATCACTCCAGAACCACAGCCCAGAGCGTGATGCTGCCACCGCCATGCGTCACAGCTGCAGTGTTCTCAGGGTTGAAAGCCTCACCTTTGCTCCTCCAATCAGCTCCACCTTTGTCTCGTCTGACCATCAAACTTTTCTCCAGACGCCGTTTGGCTCGTCCACGTGCTGCAGATTTCAGTTGAGCTCGTTGATTTTGGAGCAGGAGCTTCTTTCTTGGTCCATGGAGATGTGAGACTGGCTTCACTGTGGAAGTGACACTGGTGTTCCAGCAGATTCCAGTCCACAGCAGGCTTGATCCTGGGTGTTCCTGAACATCCTAACAGTTTCCTGTCATCTGAGGGCGACAGTCTGGGTCTCTCCCAGACCTCAGTGGGGACAGATCTGAGTAACTTGTATTTCTGCGATCCTCGTGGAGTCCATCGCTGCCTCCGGTTCTGATTCGGCAATCCTCCTCTGAACAGGTGTTTAGTGTTCAGGTGACTCTTGGCTGATGACAGTCCAGCTGCAGCCGTAACACAGGAAGCTCGTCACACTCGTTCAGATTTAAAGAATTAAATAAAAAGTAAAATGATTCCTGTTTGTTTTTACAGTCAGCTGCATGTGAT